CGTTTACTAATAAACCATCAACAGGTTGCAGGCAATTTAAAAACCATATAAGCGAACCAAATGGCTCCGCACACCCAAAATGATTTTAGTTTGCGCTACTTTTTTAAGTGCGGAGCTTTTACAGATCAAAAATAGTTCCAGATACTTAAAAGGGTTCTCTATTGCACCATTTTTTTTCATGCAGGACCATGACTGATACGGAATGGTTCAATAGATTTTAAACGGTTCTGCCTGGCACCCTTGACCTCCATAACGATCGCTGATCGATATGAAAGGGTTCCATAGGCTTGAAAAGAGTTTAATATCGAACCATTTTCATCTTAGGGTTTCATCACTAAATAAAAATAGTTCAAGCCATGAAAAATAGGCTCGCATCCAACCGCCTTTCATTCTAATTCCCTCGGCTGAAAGGAGGGTCATATAAAAAAAAAGTTTGTTTGTTTGTCTGTCTGTCTGTCTGTCCGTGTCAGGGTCAAAGGTCAAAAAAACATTTTTTTTGAAAATGCTCAAAACTTCATAAATCATCGTTTGGAAGGTGTGTAGAGGGTCAAGCTTGGTTGATGGGGGTGGGGGGAGGATACTCTGGGTGAAAGGTCAAAAAAACATTTTTTCGAAAATGCTCACAACTTCATGAAACATCATTTGGGAGGGATCCTGAGGCTCGAGGTTGGCTGGATCACGGGTGAAGGGGCAGGCACGTTACAGAAATGACGAAAACATTTCAACCGCGCCCGAGAGGAGGGCTACATAGAAGAGTTGATTACGAAAAAGTAAAAACACACTCGGTTGACTGACACATACTAAAGGCCAGTAATCCAAAAATACATTCATTCACAAGTTATATACTGGAGAGCAATCTTAAATGCTGACCTTCGATATATTGAAAGTTTTTGTACGCCTTTAAGCCTTTTAATTAAGGAGATAGCCTCAAATGTTCGGACGCGAATAATTTTATCTATGAGATGCTGGTGGAATGCTAATTAATTTTAGATACATTATAGTAGCACATGGGTAATTATATGATAGATAGGGACAGCTTTGGAGCGGCGAGTTGTGAGTGGCGCCCCTGTGGGCCGCCGACGAACAACGAGCTGCGCCTGGTAATCTAGCCAGTTACGAAAGTATCAACAATCCGACACGTTCGAATGCGAAATATATACAGAGTCTCGTTTGGTCTTACCGAAATTATCTTTCTTTTAGAAAAGGAGGACATGTTCAAAGGTGCAAATCCATAATAGTCATTTATAGCGAACTTCTGCTTCCTGTGAAGAGTGATTGTTAGTCAGGAATATAGAATAATTGCAAGCAGCACAAGTAGTCCTTTGACTCTTTTGAAGGCTGTGAGGCGAATGAAGATCAGTCTTTGGGGACCCTTTCAAAGGTTATACTTCTGTCTTTTTTTGCACAAAACGCACATAAGATTATTTTATTTTCAGTCAGTGGTTCAGTCGAGGGCATAGCGAGTCTGCCTCGACGAGCGTTACTAGTACTTATCGCTGATTTAAAATAGTTTTTGATAACTATCATGGTTCTATATCGCACACTCACACTCACTTTAAAGATTTAAATCTGTTAGAAAATGTTTCTATTTAATACCATTTTCTTTATGTTTTTCTTCGCTTATAAGAAGCTGTTCCAATACGAGTCTCAGATCTTCAGCCCGAACAGAAGTTGTGAGACGAATTCTCCACACACTATCTATTTGAAATATATGTCGTAGGACAGATTGAAATTCAGGACAGATTGAAATTGTTGTGATCTCAACTAGGATAGTTTCAAACTCTCCTAGTGCACTTTAAAATAATTTTAATCTCAACTACGACGGCTTTAAACTGAACTAGTACAGATCAAAATGATTTTAATCTGTCCTACGACATAATATATATTTCTAAAAACTTTCAAATTGAGCAAGCCCAATAGAACGTGACACAATTTTCATAACTTGATTAGAAAAAATTTCCAAATTTCATATTACGGGTAGTCTTGAAATTATTTTTCATAGGACTTAATGTTTATAGCGCTCAAATTGCTATACTATTTAATTAGAATGAGTATCAATCGATATGGGAAAACATGAGACTTTTCGTTTAATTATTTGGACTATAAATAAAATTTTTTTCCAAACTAAGAAAACAATCTATAATGCGATATTTCTTTGCTACTTCTAATCATGTATTGGGGAGTGTGAGAGTCTCTGGATATTTCGATTGTTAAATATCTTTTTTCGCAAGAGATTAATGCTGACGTCTTCACAAAAATCAATTCACTAACACCGCGTCAAAACTCAGCCAATTAAAAATATACTGTTTGTAAGCCTCCATAGAACTCAGAAAAAAATCATTTTCGTGTACTCAAAAAGTCAGTACATTATAGAATCGGTCAGTATGTCTGGCCGTCCGGTCGTTAATCCGATAACTCCTGAAAGAATAATTCAATTTTCATGAAATGCAATACATAGCATTATCTTGTAAATGCCTCGGTCGAGTTCGAAGATGAGTCTGATCGGATGTACTCTTGCTGACTTTTGGTAAACTTTTCTCTAATTCCTATATGACAAAGCTGGAGATTTGCGTGTTTCTCCGCCTGTTTGTTTTGCACTTACTTTCTATATCAGCTGTGGCCACCAAACCTAATATATGGGTTCCTTGGATCTGGAAAAACATGGAGGAAGTGCTGATTGACCAGTGAAGGGGTAGGCTTGGGTGAGATCTGAGTGGAATTTCACCCAAGCAGTTCTGCGCTAGAAAAAGGCACAAAAGCATTCATGGTGCTTCCGTGCGTGGAGTGAAGCATCAAGACAGAGTTAGTAGACTAGTAATGAGGGTGAGTCAGGATGGTATGGGTGAAATCTCACCCAAGTGGTTCTATGGCTGAAAACACCGCGAAACTTTGCATGCTACTTCCATATGTCTAGAGAATATCGGAATGAGTGTTCGTACACTAGTAAAGATGATAGGTGTTGCTGACCTGGATGCAGTCTGGGTGAAATTTCACCCAAGTGATTCTGTGGTGGAAAACGGGCGCACATCTCTATGGAACTGTCGTAAGCGTAGAGAAACCTCGAAGGGTGTCGGCAAATTAGTAAGGAGATGGATTTGAGGCAACCTGGGTGAAACTGCTATCAAACCGTTTTCGTGACAACGAAGCGCATGAAACACTCACATTTCATACTGCTCAAATTACTATACTAGGCGACTAGAATGAGTATCAATCGATACAGGCAAAGTATGAGACTTTTCGCTTAATTATATGAACTATAATTTAAATAAGAAAAAATTCCAAACAGAGAAAACAATTTATAATGCGATATTTCTTTGGTACTTCTAATCAGTTATCGTGCATTGCGAGATATTTCGATTGTTGTACATGTTATTTCGCAAGGGATTAATGTTGATATCTTCACAAAAATAAGTAGACTAATATCACGTCAAAACTCAGCCAATTAAAAATATTTTGTTTTAATCCTGCAGAGAAACCAGAAAGCAACGTTTTTATATCTCAATTTAAGTTGAGTTTATCTAATAGTGACTTCAAAATTTATTTGTATCTATAGAAGTTTGGTATATGTTGGTAACATCCGAAAGCAACTTAGTTTATGCACTTATAGATACATTCAAAAATTTTAACTTTCGATTTTTGCAAGGCCTTAGCATGAATGCTGTTAGAAATGGAAGACCATATTCCCATCATATCCCAATCACAATTCGATTTTACTGTAGGAAAGTGAAAATGGTCATCAACTGCAACTCTTCGAATCAACGATAATTTGATTTAGACGATGTCAATTTCCCACTAGTGTTATCTTTGGATACAAAAATCGAATTATGATGTGATATGGTGGGATATCTTATAATATTCTACCGTACAACAACAGCTGCGCTAGTCGAAGTAGGTGCCAAGAATAAGTTCTGGCGTAAAAGTAAAGATAGATGTAAGAGAATTTTGATTAGGATAAAGTTAAAATTAAGAATAGAAGTAGTCAGTATAGAATAAGATTAGGTATAGACGGCGCTAAGGCTAAGGCTAAGGATAGAAATAGCCAGTTAGAAATACGATAAGGATAAGGATAAGAAATAGGCAGTCATAGACAAGCTGAGTGTATAGAAATGGTGAGGAAAAAACGAATGTAAGTAGTCTGATATAGAACCAATCGATAGTGGAAAGTAAAGCGACTAAAATGAGCTGTTCTCTGGAAGGCTAGAACTATTTTTAGGAAAATCAAGAAAAGTTTTGGATAAAAGCAGATTGTGCTTGAACCTTAGAGGGTTCTGAAAATGGTACCAAAATGTGGAACCTTTTATGGTTCAGTATGACGCCATTTTTTTACAGTGCATGTCTATTCATCTTGAAGGTAGTAAGATAAGTATTCAAAAGAAATAGTCATTTGAAAGATCTTTACGATTATAAATATAAGTTGTTCAAACGGAGGAATTCAATGGGAAATGGTGTTAAAAATTGAAAAACATTCGCGATAGGACACGTGCAAAATAACGACGAAATTTTGGGTATGAAAGTGGATTAAGGAAAGAATATACGTAGATTATGCCCTGAACATCTACGAAGTCGAACGGTGAAAGAAAAAATGTCTATCTTCACTAGAAAATGAGTTGATGCGTTTTCAATTAGAGACACTCAAATAGCCCTTGTATTAACAGATCTGAATCATTTCAATGACAAGGATATGGGCTGAACGACTAACAGGTAGTGTTCTGGGATCAGTTTTTGATGCTGAAGCAGAAGGAAAAGATTTCGAAGACTATAATCTATTTTTTGAAAACCCTATTGTCAAACTTCCATCTAAAAACCTGTTTTTTTGACAACCTTACTTTTGTAGTATTTTTAGAATTTCTTCACGAAGACGACTTTTTATCTCAATCAATTATATATACTCGGATTCAGCGCCCGAAAATGCATCGAGTCACAGAAAAGAAGAATGAGCAAAAAAATTAGCTGGAGTTTTCTCTGTCGCCAACTTTACTTTGTAGATTATTAGATAATCAATGCATTCCATTAATGATCAAGATATAAACAGTTCCAACGATGAGATCAGCAAATATTCTGATAAATACCTTTACCACATCTATAATGGTTTATGCTTACCACCATATATAACCCCGGAACGATTGGAATTTTGCCAGAACATCACTCCTCGGCCAAATGACATTTGTTTTATCTCCTATCCGAAATCCGGTTCAACATGGTTAGCTTATATATTGAGCTGTCTTGTTTGCAAGGGTATGAAACCCAGTGAAGAATTTTTAAAGAAACATATCATATGGCCAGAAGCTACCGACTGCACTGTCGCAGAACTTGACCAACTTCCCGATACGCGTATTTTTAAATCCCATATGCCATACGACCAACATGTCATTGGTTGTCAAAGTATGCCAATCGAATTAAGTCCGATGAAATATATTTACATTGCTCGAAATCCAAAAGATGTTGCAGTATCCTATTATAAATTTGAATATGATAAATCTTGGTCAAACTACCATGGAACTTGGGAACAGTGGTTTGAACGTTTTATAAACGGCCATGTTCAACGTGGAAGTTGGTTCGATCATATTCTTAGTTGGTATGATCATCGTCATTCTCCCAATCTACTGATAATATGGTATGAAGATTTATTTCTCCAATTTCACTCAACAGTTCGCCAAATATCAAAATTTTTAAATCGTGCGGATATTACTGATGAAATCATAGAAAAAATATACAACGACACTCGATTCGATACAATGAAACATGACGAAGCATTTATCACGATGAATATGAGAGATAAATGGGAGCATAAAAATCACATTGGTCTCTTTTTTCGTTCAGGAAAAATTGGTAATTGGAAGAAGCATTTTACCACTGAGCAAAACAACCAGTTTGATAAGGTTTTTCTGGAAAAAATAGGTGGAACAGGCTTGTCCTCGATTACATTTGAAGTCGAAGAATAACAGCGAACGAAAAGGAACCTGAATCAAATTGTAAACTCGTTCTCAAATGCCAATGGCAGTATTAACGTAAACAATTACCTTACTGTTATGAATTTTGTTTATGATTTTTCTACTTCTTCTACTCTTTATATATGTCGTAGACCAATCTAAGATTGAACTAGTGCAAACCAGCATTGGCTCAAATTCTGAGATGAAAACTTAGTTTCAACCCCAAAGATAGTTTCAGATTTTGATTTGCATATTCCAGTACTGGACAGAAAGGAATTTCCGGTGATTGATCAACTTCGACAAAGAGCTTATCACTGTTAAATTAGTTTATGAATTTAATATACCCTCGGATAAACCCATTCTCCATTTATAACTGTCCAAGGGTTTGTCATACGCTGCAAACCGATATATCATTATACTGGTCTCTCTTAATCGACCTTCTTTCATTGATCAATAAAATCGAACCTGAATGACGTGTTTCTTATAAGTTGTGATAAAGCTCGCTTTCCGAGGTTCATTTCATTGATCAAGGAAAGAAGATTGATTAAGAGAGACCAGTACAGTGATAAGCTTTTTGTCGAAGTTGATCAATCACCGGAAATTCGTTTGTTTGTGCGGTCAAACGGATGTACCTCCTACATAAATTATTGCATTCTGAGAAGAGTTGTCTGTATCTATAGTTATTACTAGTTTTCTGCGAAACCTAGATTCATAAAAAAAGTGCTTATAATCTTTACGTAGATAATTTCGCTCAGCATACAGCGGCTTAGATAGCAAATATACCCAATTAGTTGTAGTTTTCGAACACATAAGCTGATATCTGAAGTAATCTTCAGCGTCAAAGTCGAGTTTTTATCTCAGATATTTGCACAATCCTGTTTTGAATCCGACCAAACTGAAATCTTAGAATGGTCTACGGCATATATGTACACATGTTCTAGCATTTGTAAGTGTGTTCCATCTCACTGTCGTCATACAATAGATCTACATGCATCGCACCTGCTTTAATCAAGCAATCATTTGTATACTTTTTTTCTAATCTCATTAAAATCCAAACGCCATAACTATTTTTCAGCAATGTCATTCATGATCTCACTTCTCTTCTCCTTTTATTAGAATGACACATAAGTTAGCACCAGCACAGCTAACGATAAAATTTTGATCGCTCAAAAGATCAGAACATCTTTATCTTAAAGTTCGACAGGACTGCTCTAATCCCATAGGACTTTTACCTAATGGGCAAACGTGTTTAAATGTATACTTCGTCGTCGTATTTCGGTCAAGAAATAATAAAAGCATGCAGTGCAATCAATTGATATCATATTTGACGTGTTTTAGCTGAATATCTCTGACAGATGAGGAAAAAACGCATTTTAACCCTTTCATTCCCGGTGGGATATATATTTCCCACCTTGTGAAAATATATGTTTTTCAAAAAATTTCAAAACTATTTGAAGTTTCCGAGATCTCAAAGTAATATTTGCATCCTTTTTTATTCAGGACCCATCTGTGAAAGGTTTAATAGATATTCTTACATATTTGATAGCGCACTAAGCCGTGTTTCATAGATTTCACGAAGTTTTCCCTAAACAATCCATATTTTATATCTGAACACACTTGTACTACCGGTTATTGCCGTGAAATTTATACAGGGAAATCTGTAGAACGATATTTGTCATTAGGTGAGCATGTAGTTTTTATCATTAATAGATGGAATAAATAAGAAGAATCGTCAATTATTTTTTGATAGCTATTTTACCTCCATCGTTTTACATTACAAGCTAAGAAAAAGAAAGATATCAGCTACCGGTACAACTCGATCCAATAGAAAATACTTTCCAGTTGAATTGAAGAAAGATGAAACATTAGAAAGAAGGAATTTCCTATAAGTATCAACAAATGGAGTTTCTGTAATAAAATGGATGGATAAGAAAGAAGTTCTAAACGCATCAAATTATTTTGGTCCTAAAGAAGCAAGTGAAGTTACTCGACGGCATAAAGATGAGAGTAAAAAGCAAATTTCTTGTGCGTTAGCAATCAGTGAGTACAATAAGTACATGGGAGGAGTGGATTTGTCCGATCAAAAAATCAAGTATTATACAATTGATCGAAAGTCAAGGAGAACTGGATGAGAATATTTTTTCATTTTCTTGGAATGTCATTAGTATTAGGTTGGCCAGAAAGTTTTTGCGTTTTTTTGAAAATTTTCTTTTTATTTCTTAACTTCAAAAAGTACAATTAGCTTTCAACAATGTAACCTCCATCACTGCCTATGACTTGTTGCCAACGTGTTGGTAAAGAAAAGATTCCATGTTCGTAGAAGTCTTGAGACTTTTGAGCGAAGAAGTAGGCCAGTTCCGTGCTGAGGTCGTTCTCGTCGTCGAATTTTTTCTCGCTCAAATAATTAGAAAGAGAACGAAACAAATGATAGTCTGTTGGAGCCAAGTCAGGAGAGTAAGGTGGATGTGGAAGTGTAATCCATCCGAGCTTCAATAATTTTTCACGCGTCAACTTTGCAACATGAGGTCTGGGGTTGTCATGCAGAAAATAAATCCTGTCCTGCTTCCCATGAAGTTTTGCTGCAACGCGGTCTAATTGCTGACAGTAGAGATCAGCAGTGACGGTGCAGCCAGCAGGAAGAATTTCCCAATGAATAATTCCCTTGACACTCCACCAAACGCTCAGCATAATCTTCTTTGGATGAAGTTCATTCTTGGGCGTTGCTACACCTGCTTGTCCAGCTCCCAGCCACTGCCGCTTGCGCGTATGGTTCACATACAATACCCACTTCTCATCACCAGTAAGAAGATTGTGGAGCCATTGGTAGTTGCGATGAGATGTCATCAACTCCATACAAGCGTCAACCCTGAGTTGGAGCTGACGCGGTGACAATTCATGTGGAATCCAAACACCATATTTCCACGTTTTGCCCAATTCTTTCAGGTGTGTTTCCACTGTAGCATGAACGCAACCAAGTCGCTCTGCTAAACACCGTGTAGTCAGTCTAGGATCTTCTTCGATGAGCTGCTTCAAAGCATCCATATCCACCTCTATTGGCCTTCCGGAGCGAGGTAAATCGTCGAGTTCTAAATTGCCATTCTTGAACCGATTGAACCAATGTTGCGCTGTACGAATGGAGAGTACATCCTTGCCCATCGTGCTGCATATGTTGCTAGCTGCGTCCGTTGCTTTGTGACCCAAACGAAATTCATGAAGCAAAAGCACTCGGAGCTCTCTACGAGATATCTTAAATTCTAATTCTTGATCAACGTCCATATCCATGATTTTGTTATTGTTCGAAAGAAATTCGTACCCCCTTTATATACCCACAATATGGAAACTTCTAGAACTTTCTTGACTATTCTAGGAAAATTTAAGAAAAAACGCAAAAACTTTCTGGCCAACCTAATAAAAGACAACGAACAGAGAATGTTCCAACACTATAAGGATAATTCCAATATGTAGAATCTGCACATATTGGATAATACCTACACCGATGTCGACCAAATCTAACAACATACCCGTGAGCCTTTCTCCGTCTGACAACATAATTTCTGAGCATGACATCTCCTTTGTCACTGCGAAACACAATCTCTATTTCACGAAAAATTACGAACGATATCTACAATCAATCGTAAAAATGGCTTCTCAGTTAAGATTGACACCCACAATCCATACATACCCAACTGCGCATATCTGCGAGCATGGAGGAGAACATTCCTTCGTGTGAGGATATCTGTGTATAGGTGAAAATGTTGAATGCGATTTCGAGTTAAGTGCTCTGTGTGAAGGTATAATTTTGAATGGAGGATTTTAGGATATAGCAATAGATAGGATAAGAGAAAATTTCATCGTTGATATTCGCTACATTTTATGTATTTTTCATGTGGTTCAATCTGTAGATACACTTTTGTGTGATTATTTAGCTTTGGAACGTGAGTTACATGGAAGCGGATGATTAGTTGGGATGAATATACTTGTGAAGGTGAACATGCAACGTATAATAATGGTCGGTGTGATCTTGACGGTATGGGATGGAAGCACATGATCTGTGTACGTATCATAGTTTGTTATCACGATTGTGTAAAAGATTATGCGAGCATATGTGCCTTCAGTTGGACGTGTTGAAACTAATTTCATTCATTTACCATTTCGGTTTGGTGAAGCTGGATGCTCTTCTCTTTGACGGAAATCGCTCGGCATTCGTGTTGAATCGTCCTCTCTGAAATTAAAAAGTGTAATACTGTTTTGGATAAATTCCGTTCATTGTAGGGTAAGTTTTCAAAGTTGAGAAATGATGCGATTGAAGAAATTAGTAGAGATGAATTCGAGGTTTAGATAGAATGTACCATTTTTTTCTAATCGATTTCCTTTTCGTTTTGATTTAGTATGGGTCCATATGTTTCGAAAGTCTCAAACTATGATACGCAAATAATTACATACAATTTGTGTGATGCGGCTAAATTGCTTAAACAGATAACAGCTGTGATCAATGAAAAACTTCGCAATGTAGTTCATAAATTTATGAGCATACTTGCTGTTCACAATACAGTTATGCTCATTAATATGCTACTGCTTTTACTAATGATTGTTGCTATCGTTATCTGGTGTTTATTTCAGCATTGTCAAAGTACATCTGTAGAGATAAGTGTCGTGGACGAACCACCGGCTTATTCGATCGATACTCCAGCATCGGCTAAAAAGTCTCCGGAAAAAAATGAAGATGAATATAAAGTCTAATATCCTCAGTGACATCGCGTCAAATGACATTTTTCTCTTGTTTATGCATGCATTTCAATAGATTCATAGTTAGATTGTAGCTAGATGTACTGAGCATTGTTTCATTCCCTCGACTGAAAGGAGGGTCATGTCGAAAAACGTGGTCCAAAAATCCAAATTCCCTTGTGAGTATGTCTGTCGCAGATCAAAGATCAAAGGTAAAAAACTCAAGTTTTTGAAAATGTTTGAAACTTCATAAAACACGGTTTCGAAGGACGTTTTGGCACTAGAACTTGGTTGAGAGTGGGAAGGACAGGTAAGGTAGGGGTCGATGTTAAGAGTACTTTGAGCCTTGAGGTCAACGGTCCATAAGAGAATTTCACTATGAGCGGAGCAAATATTAGGTAAAAGACAGTTTTTCATAACTACAAATTGCAAAGAAATTTATCTTACATTGAAACTGAAAGATACGTTCTCAAAATGTAATGTAACTTGTATTTGTGATTCCCTCGACTGTAAGGAGGGTCATATGAAATAAAATAGTTTGTTTGTGGCAAAACGTGGGCGAGCCTGGATTGCTGCGCGCTAAGTAGCTAAAGTTGTGCGCGTGTGCGGCCAGTGGTGGCCGAAGGTCGGAGATGTGGCCAATGGTGTGTGCCGGGTGGCACGGTGTGACCCTCATAGCCACGGGTGTGGGCGAGGGTCAACGGCCAAGAGTGAAAGATTAAAAATCGTTTTTCTCGAAATATTTGCCATTTGAAGAGTAGTCTTTTCCGATCGAATCTATGCTCGACGGAAGAGCATATTTATAGCGTCGAGATATGACTTCAGGCATCAACTAAGAATTTACTAACTAGGCAATTTGGGTAAGCAAATACTGTATTGGGAACATGGACGAAGAGTCGCCATATGGTCTCTTGAGAAAAAGTCGTTTGAATGGTGTCTATCTGTGGCATGATTGAAGGTGAAAAATGATAGAAACGTCACGATTAGCGCGTGGAGATAGATGAGGCTGATTGATAATTGTCGTAGATCATAAAATGGATCGATAACTATCACACGATGTAAGGATGTGAAATTAGATGTGTAGGATACATGAATAATGCATTGAACATCGTTTATGCTTTTATTGTGTGAAGGGTGGGAACGGAAAGCGCCTGCTATTAAGAAAGTGTATATGCTATAAGCAATATTGAGCAGTCGGGGGTGGCGGACCCGAGGGACGCCGACGACCGACTGCGAGATGAGAGGGTTGTTACATCTTTTGTGTAGTTCTAATGACAAGAGTACAATGGGAAGAAAATCAGCCGAGCGCTCAGCGAGAGTACTCGACCAACGTTACTGGTGATAAATTCACAATAAATAAAGACCTTTTATATCCTGACATTTGTTTTACAAAGACAATAAGCTATTTTATTTGCGAGAGTTAATAAATAGTCGTACAGAAAAGGTTTTACCGTTTCATCGTACGTGAAGTTGCTAGATTGATTCGCCTCATTAATAGCACACGCAGACAGTATATCTGTCTCCCACAGTCGAGGGTGAAGTGAGTCGGCACGACGAACGCTACTTGTTTCTATATATGTGTTGTTATCCTTATAATTAGGTCCATCTTGTATACGATTTAATCAAAGTGCTATCCGTCCTCGAAAACAACAGGAAATTGAAATTAGAAATGAACATAAAGATATTTCNAGTCTACCCTTCCGTTCAATTATTCGAGTATGCGTATACTTGCGCGTGAGTAAAAGGGCTATGAAGGGACACCATTTCAGTGAGGATGAACAGAAGAGTTTTGAAAGCAGTCGAATATTCAAATAATTGAAAAAAAGACTGCAAAAATAGTTGAATAGTTGAGTCGAAATTTCGAGTTTCGCATTACTAAAAGACGCAAGGATCATAGTAGCTATTCATAGTGGACTGCTGTTTCATGTGTGAAAAATGATCATGAATAATGGACATTACATAAATAACAAGAACGATGCCAGTTGTTTGGTTAGTTTTGAAAAAGGTTGAAATTGACGAGGACTGTTCTCGAGACATCATTTGAAAGGGCAAGTTTTATCTGAAGTATAACCCAATCAGTCGAAGGTAATGCGAGTCTCCCTCGACGAGCGTTATTTATTAGTAAGGATGTTTCGAGCAATACTCCAGATGGTATATAAACATCTTAAAAGATCTTTGCCTACCATATGTTCTTTTTATTTCAAAAAGTCATCGCCTGAACGTACCGTATATATAATATAAGTTTTCTTTTCTTTTAAGAACATTAAATGGCAGCGTAAAAAGAATTTTTTAGCTGTCAACATAAAACTTTATACGTGTTTAACAATGATACGAGAGTTTCTCCTTTCTTTAAAAGAATGGCTATTGGGATTAAATCTTTTTAAAAAATCTTCAAGTAATGAACAAACTCTTGCCAAAGAATTACTAACCACACGCATTTTTCTCATTTCTTTTCTTTGTCTATTGACTCTTATTGGTATTATTTCATCATTAATCCTTTATACAGTCAACAAATCGGAAAGTTCACCACACGTAAAAAGATTTGAATATCTTGTAAGCAAATATCCCAAGACATTAAATTGTCCCTGTTCAAAAGCTGGAGTTACATATTCAACGTTTGTTACAATCAATGCCGAATTTCATCAAGTATGTTCAAGTGAATTTATTACAAAATTATGGATTGAAACTGTTTTTGCTCAAAAAAATTCTGATGGTATTCATCGAATATTAAGTTTCTTCTGGCAAACTATTGCAGATTTTTGCGCAATTAGTAAACAATCATTAAACGCAGCAATAATCAATTTCAATTCATCATTTATACTTACTCCTATAGTTAATTCAAAAGATGTTATTGAAAATCAAGTATATTTAGATCTAAATGTCTATATTCAAGCAATCAAAACAAAACTTGCACAGTATTTATTAGTAATTCAACGAACTATCGCTGGTAATCAATATGTTTCTGCTGTAACCAGTAATTTTTACTTTATTTCTTTGACGGGAGAACACTCTCTTCGAATGTCACCAAAAGAATTAAATAATTGTTCATGTATGAGAAGCACTGGCTGTCCACATCCCGCAATGATAAATCAAACAATTGTTCCTGGAATGATCATGGATTGTTATTTAGTAGATGCAACATTGTCATCTACTTTAGAATGTTATCATAATCAAACATGTTTTTCTCTTTTACATCCATCAATGCCAATGAAATTACTTTCAAATAATGTAAATAAACAATTTTCATTGAATTCAACTATTCAATTACTTTTAGAAAAACTTATGATTGATAATTTAACTATTAATATTAATTTTGATTTATTCTATGATCAATGTAAACCATTATTTTGTTCATATTCGTATTCTCATCGTTTTGATGTTATGTTTGTCATCACGACGTTGATTATTAGTTTTAGTGTACTATCATTTATTTTACCACTTATTTCAAGATTAATAGTTATGATTATTTTACGTTGTAAAGGAGTCAACTCAACAAGAGCAGGTAGTTTTCGAGTGAAAGAAATAATAATGAATATACGTCGATCTATATATACAAATATAATTAATGTAAATCTTTTTGAAAATGAACGAATGATAGATGAAAAATATGTATATGAACAACGTTTTACTACTCGAATATTTCTTTCATTTTTTATCATCTTTTTCATTATAATTAGTATTGTAATAATTTTATCGAAACAAGAACAATTGATAACAATTTCTCAACCAATGGAAGAAGAATATCAAATATTAAATGAAAAATATAGTTCAACACTTATTTGTTCATGTTCACGAATCTCTATTCCATATGGAACATTTCTCGATGTTACTTTTCTTCTTCATCAAATCTGTTCAAGTAATCTTGTTTCAATTCAGTGGACTAATTACTTATCATCACTCAATCCAATGAATATATCTGAATGGTTCTTCGAATATATAGCAAAAGATTTTCGAGACGTTGGTTCTTCTTACTTTGAATTTCTTCAAATATTCTGTCAATTAGCAAATCTTACCATTGAAAATAGTCAACAAACTTTTCTATCAACGGAATTTATCAGTAATAATCTTCTTTCTCCAGATATTTTCCAAGAAAAAACAACAGATCTCATGGATACATTCATTCATACGATTCAAAATACTTTTCTTGAAATCTATCAATGGCTTCGAATAATTAATACAATTAATACCTTTATAACAGGTACCAAATCAAATTTTGATGGACATATAGAAAACGATCAAGTAATATTAACGGATCCACGTCGTAGTGCAATTGTCTTTCTCAGAAATAATGAAATAACTGGAGCAGGTGTATGTATATGCTCAACAATGGGAAATATGTGCCCCATTGGACTTATGCTCTTTAAAAATACATCAAAGTCTGTCAATCGCCCATATTTTTTCCAAGAAGTTTCATATGGTTGTTTACCTTGGAAAGGATTTATGCGTTCAACAATTGATTGGTGGTATAATCAAAGTTATATCAGTGATATTCAAGATACCTATGCAACAGTTATTCCAAAGTTATTTTCACCAATTATAACGGCACTTGATCGATCAATCAATTCATCATTTCACGGAAAAAATATGGAATATTTAATAGAAAATATGTTTATTGAAACAATTGTGAAAAAGAATGTAAATTTTAGCACTTTTTACAATCAATGTGCACCACGGTCTTGCTCTTATACAATTATTCAACGACGAGAGATTTCCGTTCTTCTTCTTCTTTTAATATCCATTAGCCAAGGACTTGATCAAATTCTTCGCTTATTTGTACCTTTATTTAGTCACTTGATTTTATTTTTTCTCCTTAAGTTCATAAGTTCCAATCGAACAGTAGTACAAACTACAAGTTTTCAACGATTCAAACGTTTATTGAAATGCATTCAATATTTTAATTTATTTTCATCCGATAAGACAGATAAAATTAGTTTACATTTACAATTAATCTATACACGTGTTTATATCGTTCTTTTTATCATCGCCTTAGGAACCTTAGTTTTTTACAACTCAGTTATCGAACGTACTCGTTCAATAATAACATCCAATCCAAAAATAACAGATTATGAACAGCTTCTACAACTCTATTCAGATAATGTCAATTGTCCCTGTACACAAATTGCTATACCTTATGCAAAAATCGTCACTACACTTAATGTAACATCATTCCATCAAGTATGTACTAGTTCATTATTGGGGAAAATGATAGAAACAGGTCGACCTCTGGGAAGTACCACTGGTCCTAGTGGACTGGAATTTGATTCTTGGAGGAAATTATTTATGAGTGGTATCAGCATTCTTTGCGCTTTATCGAAGAATTATGTCAAGAATAATATTGAAATATTTCTTTCATCAACAATGTTAGCTTATCAGATTATACCTCGAAATGTTTTCAACCAACAAATTAATATCACTGTAAGTCACTTTCAAAATGAATTACCAATTAGATTTAATCAAACACTTGAACTTATTCGAGCGATCAATCATGATAATGCTTTGATCGGCATTTTCCCTTCGAACTGGAATATTTTTGTTGCAGATAATAATATTTCATTTGTTACTGATCCTGTAATATATAACTTTACAAATACAAATACAACATGTTCATGTGCAACTGAACGATCTTGTTCTATGCCAGTAGTTATCTATGATTTCGGAAGAAGAGTATATGTTAACTCGCCTGAAGGTGTTGTATATAGTTGTTCATTGGTCGAAGCAATTCTTCATTCGTCATTATTTTGTTTTTATTCAAAAACATGTGTTCTTCAATACCGAAAATTAGCAAATATATTACCTCTTTCAAGCGAATGGTCTGATCTAATTACTAAAAACATTTTCAATTCATCATTGACTCGTTTTGCAATAAATGATACAATTGAAACAATGGTCTCTTCTATGTTTATTGAATCATGGTCAAGTAATACATCCTATGAAAATTTCTTTGAAACTTGTTCACCATCTCAATGTATTGGTACTTATCATTATCGATTTGATACTATGGCAATATTTACTACCATCTTAAGTGTCTATGCTGGTTTAACTTTCATATTAAGATTTTTAGTTCCATATTTAATCAGGATTATTAATAAGATTCGACATTGTAATCGTGTTCAAACGATAAATACTTCTTAAAAAAAAGACTATATGAATATATCAAGAAAATATTTTATTCTTTTTTGTTTGCCAAATAAATGTTGTATAGATAAAGAAATTTGAAGGTGATAATATGAGCAGTAGCTTTGCCGAGAATGAACTACCGAGAATCAAGCTCTCTCAAAAGTAAGGTTGAGTTGATTCAAGTGCCATCACTTAACCCTTTCCAGCCGGCTACTAGAAGCCAAAGAGCAAAAAATATTTTTCGCACATTTCTATTGCTTCTAGACCGTGAAGATAAGAAAAGTTTGTTTTCCTAAACCAAAACATACTTTCTCATAGAATGGCACGATGTATCCATTTGGACACATCCGGCTGTTATGGGTCAAAATCGTATAAGTGGTGTTTTCTGTTTACATCTATCAAAGCAGAACATTTTATACGAAACATATCTTGGGTTAGGATTCGAGTATTTTCAAAAATATTCGCCTATACGTTAGACCAAGGCAGAATTCGACGAACTCTGCTGAATGATCACCTTACTTGTCCAAAAAGACCTTTCTTTCATGTCAAAAATCTCAAAATACTTTAAAACTACTATCAACATTTTTATAAAAGGCAGGTGGAAGAAAGTTGTATAACTTTGGATTGAAAAGTTATTTCGAACTGTGGTTTTCACCATTCAATAGACGAGGTTCGGGGGGCAGATACCTATGTGGGAAAGTCGCCATTCAAAGTATTTTGTCGAGTAGATTTTCGTTGACGAAGTTTAGCATGTATTAGACGATCTTTTTTAGGACTTTTTTTCATGATGTTGGTACTCCAACATGCTTACTTCACACTGGTATCGAAGAAATTTTCTCAGTTTCCCCACTGAAAATATCAGAGATATTTCAACGGTGAAACTACACGTAAGATCTATATTGATGTTTAGTGATGTTTAAATAAATAATATATCTTGATGAATGTTACAATTAGAGAAAAATATTCGTTTATTAGAATCATTTGGTTGATTGATCGTGATACTGCGCGTTGTTAAATGTCCTACCGATTTGAGAGATCATATCTGATTATATCTGTGAGTCGATATTTTGAAAAAACAATTCATATAGTATCTAGTACACGTATCTCAAATGCATTCGTCAAAAAAGATTTGTTCAACACTGAAAAATCTGTGATGAATAATAAACTCTCCACAATGATTTATCAAACTGATAAATTCTTTAAGATACGTTTTTTCCGTTTATTAGCATCATAAATCTTTTGATATACCGTCTCTCATGATCTACGCAAAAAAAAGTATTTTATACGTTGCAATCTGATAAACGTTTTAGATTATATCAAAAGATTTATGATGCTAATAAACAGAAGAAATGTATCTCAACGAATTAATCAGTTTAATATATCCTTTTGGAGGGTTTATTATTCTCTACGGATTTTTCCAGTGAAGATCTACGTCTGAGTTTCAACGATATCATTGAATTATAATAAGTAGCTGTCTTTTACTGAAATCTTATCAATATTTTTAACTATTTCAGCACTAACTTTTTAACGAAATACATATATAAGATCAAATTGACGTTTATTAAGCCTTTATATAACTCTAACGAAGAATAGTTTCCAAATAGGTGAAGTTATCTCTACAGAAGTGGTTCTTATTTGAATCTCTTCAAGTTAAAATACAAGACAGATAATAATAGAGAGGATGCTGCATTTATTATAGGTTGATAAAAAAAATAAGTACGTTTATATTCTCTCGATAGCTTTCTCCGATAAATCATACCGTTTATCAACTAAACGAGAGATGAATCGATTTGAGTTTCGATTCTTTTTTATCGTACCGAGATTTCACGCATCGAAGTTGTTGGGATACATTCCGATAACGAAAAAATAGATGAAAAGTCTAACTAAAAACAAGAACTAAACTAAAGTATTCTGGACACATATCCTTAGAGGAAAATGTGAAGATCGCGGTTCACAATGAGAAAGCTCGCAGAATATAAATTTGTGGAAGATGGCGCCTCTCAAATACCACTGGTAACCTACATTTCATCGCGCATTTTCGAAACCGCGTTCTTAAACGGTGATCATGTTGCGGTTTGTTTTGAACACACCGCGATATATTTATGTTGCGGTGCACCACACCACTGTTAAGCAAGGACGAAACGCGTCGTAGAATGCTTGACTTACACCCACACCATCATGGTTATTCCCTCTACTGAAAGGAGGGTTATGCGTCGAGCAGGTATTACAAAAAAACGAGTTGATGTTGGTTTGTTGGTTTGTTGGTTCGTTGGTTCGTTCTTTCACATCACTGTTCGATAGTGACNAACTAAAAATGATAATAAAAGATATACTGTAGGTCATGAAGTTACGAAGAATTTCGGCAACTTTGCTAGAGACGGACTCAACAAGAACGAGGTACTTTTTAATATGAAAATATCATTAAACACTTATTGGGTACCGACGGCTAGCCGTGAGTGGTCGACCGGAGAGAGGCCGACAAACGACTAGGCGTTATAATTTCAGAAGATTTCAGGAATCGAAATTGGTCTAAGTAAAACATTCTGACAAACTATTAAATGATCAGATCGTTCAACTGAAAAAACTTTTTGCTCTCTTTGGACGAATAGTAGCGCTCTAATACTATCCTTTCAGTAGAGGGTTTAGCGGCTATTAGGCCGCGTTACTTGTTACCTAAACTGTTCATCAGAGGGTAATAGCCTGATAATATCTTCTTTTCAACGCTGGTGGTGATCAACTTGGTGCTCGTCGAAAATTAAACAATGGACTTTGCTGTACATTTTTTTCTTTTTTCTTTCTTGTTTATATTTTTTTGTTGTTTTTTGTTTCTCACCCAACAGCGGGGCCGGTAAGGATATTTAAATATAAAAATATAAAAATATATATATAAATTGAAAGATTTCTATCTTTTGATTTGTTTGAGTTAAATTTCTATATGCACATTAATAAACCACCTGATGAAAGACCCTTGAAAAAGGTCGACATCTAGATCGTGGTAACTAATTTGTATAACTCATCCACCCTTTTTAAGACAGTACAATTTAGTTTAGAATTTATTTTATCACTTTTGTAGATTAAGCCATTTGAAAACGAACTTTAATAGGTTCGAAATCGATTATGGTAGTTCTAGTTCAAAAAACACCCTCACCCTATGGCGGCTGAACTCATACACCCCCACCCTCAAGATTGTTTGAAAGGACAAAAGTCAGATGCACGACCAATCAGTGTCACTAATAAAATTGGGATATTTCCAGCACTAACATTTGTCAATGGAGTAACGTTTTCTTAAATAAATCATTGCAAAGATTATGTGTGATTAGATTCTTATAAGTACACGTTGCACTTAGTTCTATTTTCACCACAAAATAATTGTGTGCTTTTGTCTCCGAGTTGATTTTTTCTAAGATACAAACGACTGAGTGTCTATGTAAAATGACAGAGAAAGCTATAAAGTGAACAAAAAGCGTAGTGTGACTGACTGTGTTTTTTTGAAGAGCACCACTGAGATTTTTCGCTCCTTTATCACTAATATTATTTTGTTCTATACTCAGTATAATCAGTGTCTGCACGAAGTAAGTATAAAAGTTGTCTAATACATAGTGACGAATGAGTTGTCTTACGTGATTATTTCGTAGAGCATCAGCCAAATATTGCGCTCCTTTGTCGCCGATCTGATTTTGTTGGAGCCATATCTCCTTGAGCGTCTATATCATATGAGACACATAAATATTTCGTTCAAACAAAAGACGATGTATTGCCGTATTATTTCGAAGAGCGTTAGAGAGATATTGTACTCCTTTATCGCCGATTTGGTTTTCTTCGAGCCCCAAGCCAGTGAGTATCTGTATCAAATGACAGATACGAATAGGATATGGAGAGTAGAATTTTTGTATATCACCTTATTATTTCGAAGAACGTTACCTAGATGTTGGGCTCCTGTACTGCTGATTTGGTTTTCTTGGATACCAAGGCAAATCAGTGCCTATTCGAATGGCAAATATGTATATAAAGTGACCAAATGGAGCATGTTACCGAGCTATTTTGTAGAGCATTAGCGAGATGTTGTGTTCCAATGTCACCGATCTGATTTCCTCTGAGATACAATTGTTTGAGTGTCTGTGGAAAGAGAGAAAGAAGTCGATTGGATAAGAACAAGAAACGTAATATCTGCCACCGTATTATTTCGAAGAGCATTAGCGAGATGCTCTGCTCCTTTGTTGCTGATTTCATTACGTTGCAGACCTAAGCAAGTAAGTGTCTACACGAAACAAGGAAGAGTAATATCCTATAAGGAAATATAGTGAAGTGTCTCACTGTGTTTTTTTGAAGAGCATCAGCTAGATATTGTGTCCCCACATCAGTGATTTCATTTCCTTGAAGCCATATCTTTGTGAGTGTCTATAGCAAAAGAGTAATAAGATATTTCGACGAAGAGAGCCCATTATAAGTCACCGTATTGCTCTGAATTGTTTCAGCGAGATATTGAGCTCCTTGATCACAGATATAATTGTCATGGAGATACAGTTTAGTTAAAGTCTACGCGAATGAGCAATAAGAATATTCGATAAGGATAAAGAATGATCTCGAGCACCGTATTATTTTGAAGAGCATTTGCTAAATGTTTTGCCGCTTCCGCGCATATTTTATTTTGGTGTAGGTAGAGATTGGTGAGTGTCTGTAACATACGGAGCAAAGGAATAATGGACGAAAGGAGAACGCGATGTCTCACCTTATTCGTTCGAAGAGCACCAGCTAAATGTTGTGCTCCTTTTTCACTAATTCTATTTTGTCTGAGATTGAGCACTCTCAGAGTCTGAGTAAAATGCGAATAAGAAATATTTGATCAGTAACGAAAAACATGTCTCACAGTATTGTTTTGAAGAGCAGTAGCCAAATGTTGCATTCCTTCGTCGCCGATTTTATTCTCTTGGAGCCATAGTTGTGTGCGTGCCTGCATCAGATGAAGAACAGGAAAGAATTTGTCAGAGAGAAAAAATAAGGGTACAAATTAAATGGTCAGTATTTTATTGTAAATGGTCAGTTCGTTATTTTTAGTCAGTAAAAAATCGCTTTTGATCAGTATGAATTGATTTATGATCAGTAAAAGATTTAGTGCTAATCAACCATTAAATTTGCTTGTTTTGCATAATAATTTTTAGTGATTTAACGATGTATTTGTCTAGTAAATGTACTACAAGGAAAGTTGAGTCCGATGTCTCTGAAAACTATGACTCCAGATTAGAATTTACTAAGGGTGTGGGTGTGGTGAGGGTGTGGGTGAGATTGGCTGAGGTCTGGGCGTTAGTTTAATGATTGATTTGCAATAAATTTTCTACGGGTCATGGTTCAATTTGTACTGACCAAAAGCGATTTTTCTACTGACCAAGAATGAATTATTTACTGGCCAATTTATAGAACTGATCATTTACAATAAAATACTGACCAGTTAAATAGGACCCAAAAAATAATATGTAGTGGAGTTCTGTTTTGAAAAAACTGATCAGCTTTTGTTCGAAGCCCCAATAAGATTATGGCGGAATAGGTTTAAATTTAAGTTTCAAAGTTTTCTCTTGGTTAGCTGCTTGGAGTGTTGAAGAAATTATCGGTAACCTTTTCGTATATGATATTTTTAAATGTTCTTTGGAGAAAAACTCTCAGAATTTTGACAATGATTTTTTTTCTAAAACTGTTTATATGGCTAACGTCAAAGGGTGCGGTATCAAATTTTCTATTTTCAGATTGTTGTATAAACGTTTTAGATATCTAATCAGCATTTTATCCAGTAAAAGTATTTGGAAAAAGATATTGCAAATAGATGTGTTTTCTTACATTGCTGTTCTGCAGCGCACGGGCTACAATTTGCATATCCTGGTCTGTTATACGAAAGTGGCACAAGTTCAACGAGCTGGCTCGGGTATTTGCGATGCGTTGTTCGAGTTGAGATTTCTTGGATTTTGGTATTTCGACATATCGTACAGTTGTCAGTATTTTTTCTATCAATGTTTGTAGTTGTTCGAGTCCTTCTATATGGTGCAGGGCTCCGGTAGGTGACTTTAGTTCTTTGCGTCGTAAAAGTATCAATTTCGTGTATTCATCGAAGTCTTGTTTCGATTGAAATAGTTTCGTCTGATTTTTGGTCTTGATTATAAGAGTGAATTTGGCTATTTCTTTCTTCAAATTTTCTACTTCTTCTTGAAGTCGAGTGCTATAATCTTCAACTTCCTTCGTTTGGCTTACTTCAACTGCGAGAATATGTTCCAACATTGATTTCTCATGCTGCTCGATAATTTCACGAAGAGCTGCCATAGTTTCGATGATTTTCAATTTATGTAACTGACTAACTCTCTCAATATCGATTTTTAACTTGTTGGCTTGGTTTAATTGATCGTTCAAGAACGATTCATGTATTTGCAGGCTACTCTCTATCTAAAAGACGAATACTTTCATCATTAATTTTTTTTCAAGATAATCATACAAGCTCAATTGTAAACTGACCTTTTCTTGTAATTTGGCTGTGGTATCATTCGTCAAAGAAACGGTGTGAGTTATATGCATAAATTTTTGACAATCGTTACAAATAACAGTTTCACACGTTTCACACCAATATTTGAGCTTTTCGTCCGGATGGAGTCCACATAGGGCTACTTCTGATGGCTTGTCAGCAATGGGAACTCGTTGGTGAGTCCGCCCTGTACGCGATGTGTGAAGAGTCTCGTTGCATTTCGAACAAAAGTTTTTCTCGCATTTAGCACACCAATAGCTGGCTGTGACTGTTTCACATTCAAAACACAGAATTGGACCTGAAATCAGCATAAAAATCGATGACGTTAGAGCAAAAAGTTCCGAAATGTTGATAGCTATAGGCAGCAAAAAAAGAAAAATTCTCGATAACATAAGTCTGCGATGAGCATGATACCTATTAATAATTTATGGTAGTCAAACAACATGCTTTGTTCTACCTTGTGTAGAAAAAAATGAAAGCTAATTCGTGGATTTCAATCTGAGGCGTAAGTGCGAAGTGCGTATCTGCTGGTCTTTCTTCAATCACACCCACTTGAGCGTGTTAAGGGTGTGGGTGTGGGCATGGGCAGGTGGGTGCGTGTGTTGGTATGAATATGGGTGGGTGTGGCTGTTGGTGTGGCCGTTTGAGTGGATGACTCAAGTGTCTAGATCCACACCCTCAAAATCGTGACTTGTAGGGTGGGTATTAAATCATCCCAGCCCGATAAGTGTAGAAAAACTACGCCTACGGATGCGTCAAAGCTGCGTTTTTGCACGCTATCATCGTATCATTAATGTAACGTTTTCGAATTGCGTTTTCTGACTCTGAAGAATCACTCTACGTAGATTCGTCTATTCTAAAATACGGAACGATATGCTATCTCTCCGTCTCAGCAGCAGGTTTCCGGCTGCTTCTGCATCGTTCATACTTTTCGCTCTTGTCTGTATTCTCACGTGGCTGTCTGAAAGCAAATCAGAATGTAAACGTTCCGATAGGACGTGCTTTTGCTCGTCGTCCAAAAACGAATAGAAAGCCATAATAACAACTAAGGATGTGGGGATGACACAGTGTCAGAGCAGCGTCCGCCTCTGCCACCGGTTATCAATGGATCGATGACCCATCCAAAACCATAAAAAATAGTTGATTTTTCGCTTTATCTCGATGCTTTTATACTCATAGAATGTATTCAGATAAATTCACCGGCTCACTGCATTGGCAGTGTATCGCAGCATCGGTGTCATTAAGGAATGGTTTTCGTTAGGCTGGTGAGAGCATGAGGAAGTTACAGTACTGACTGGTTTTGTACATTTTTCACATAGTTATGGGTAAGTAGAGTTAAGCGTGCTAGTTCACCGATCAGCTCTGTACGCTCCTTATATGTTTATCGGTTCTGTTACGTGTGATATCATTACATCTTCCTAATTTTCATCTTTGAACTAGTAGGAATACGAAGAATTTATGACGCTAATCAATATACTAGCACCACCTGATGTTTTTCACACAAAGCTATGTGAAAAATAAAGAACACCGGCCAGTACCGTAGCTTTTCTTATGCTTTCCTCGATCTACCGAAAACCGTTGACCGATGACACGGGTAGTACAGTGCACTGTCTATACGGCGAGCCGGTAAGTTTATGTTGATGGAGTTGATGAATATGAAAGCGGTGAGATAAGCCAAAGAATCAACTATTATCATGGTTAGGAATGACTTCATTAGTTCACTGGTAACCGACGGACCGGTGGCGGTGACACCGGCGGCCCACCGTCACTGTTGCATCAGTACAAAGATGTGAAATTGTGACTTTCCATCAAGTTATAAATCGGTATCACTGACCTAATAGTTCCGCTATTTCATGTACGGCTCGATTGAAAGGTAATGAGTTGACGTCATTTATTTCTATTCTGGTTCCGTCACGCAGAGGACATTCGAATTGGCCATTATTGCTCGCGGCCACTTTTTGAATGCATCGAAGGCAGTAAGTATGCGAGCAAGTGAGTAAACGTGGGTCATCAAAATGTTCAAGACATATTGAACAAGTAATCACACTTTCAATTAAGGCTGTACTGCTGGATGCCATGTTTCAGTTAGTTCATCTGAAAGCAGGTGAACGACTGCTAATTTAGACCATAAGAAAGCTGAAATATGTTCTATGATTTTTGCTCAGACGGCAGATCTAAGAATAACAACTTTAAATATTTTATCGAGTATTTTTGTCTCCAGCACTTGTACATATATTTTCTCGAGGTGTGGGTGTGGGTGTGGATGCGTTCTTAATCATCAACAGTATTGGTAAGACTCTTATCCACGTCCACATCCTCGCTCATACTCGTACCCTCAAGAATCTCTCGAATTCGGAACACGTCTGCGAACAACCAGGTTCCTTATCCTGCTGGTGTAGTGGATCCAGTGCTGTCCTGCTCGGATCTGAGACTTAGGTAGGGTGTGGGCTGCGGCGATTTCTCTTCACTCATATCTATAACCGTCTATACACTCTCACACTCAACTACCGACTCATGGGCAAACGGCACATACAAAATGTATGCTACGAAGTTCTTCATATTAAGTGTGCGGCTCTTGCTGATCGAAAAAGAACACGCAGAAAATGTCGAGAATTATATATTTTCCCCGTGATGAAATTACGCTGCAAGAAAAAAAGACCTATATAAGTGGCGACTTTTTCTCTTTTTCTACTGTTGTCGCGTCTCCACGTGACTCGACGAATCAAAGAAACAGCATAGCAGTTGAAGTCAGTAATAAACAACAGAACGGGTAGAATTTAAAGCTATTCCATACATGTATAACTCGAACACAAAGTTCGAGTATTAAACTTTCAACTTCGAGTTTTCAACTATTCGAGTTTTCAACTTTTAACTGATCGGCTATTAAATATCCACTAATTAAACGATAATTATTAAATAACTAACTGATTATCAATTATTGGCTAACTGATGATTAACTATTAGCTAACTGATTACGACGGTGGATGTGGGTGAGGGTGTAGTTGAGGGTGTGGGTGAAGGTGAGGGTGTGGGTGTGGGTGAGAGTGAGGGTGTGGGTGAGGGTGAGAGTGTGGGCGTTGGGTAGCAGTGTAAAACTTGAATACTCGAAAACTCGAAGCTTCGAGTTTTAGATTTATATGGTTAGAAGTTGAATAGTTGAAAACTCGAAGTTTCGAGTTTTAGATTTATAAGTTTTAGAATTCGAAGGAAGTTTTAATACTTGAATCGAGTTAACGATTTCTACACTACTCCAGAATTTGAGTTAAAGTTCGTTCGTTTGTCCTTTGGTCCGTCTGTTCGTCCGTTCAGATACTTCACACCAATGAAAAAGCAATCTGTACTGCTGACATATAAGGGTTGACCGAAGGGTAATCAGGGTCGAGGATCACGAATTTGAAGTTTGTAAGTAGTTAATAGCTGTGTATCATTAAGAGATAGTTCATGGCAGCATATAATTTTGTGGATATATAACATGTTGGTGAAGACGTTGCTTCGATTGCTCTGTATATGCAGCGGATTGTGTTGAAGAGCTAGGGTTGGCAAACGTTTAGCTGATTTGGATTGACGACGGCATTAAGCGGTTCACTATCAGGCGTGAATTATCCGGCGATTGCAGAAAAATGATCATTCACGGTCATATTTCTCATCTAATACACCATATTAACGAAGCAATTGTGGTGTCACTGTTGGATTGTACACAGATGTGGCATAGTACCATCGATCTATCGATAAGTTTGGTGTGGCAAATATATTATGACTGAAAAGGCGTATGCGAACAAGTTTATAATGAACATTGACAAAAACACTCGATCTTTTGTTGATACTTCCTATTCATTATCGAAGAGAAGATCATAAAGAACTTGTTCGATCAGTGACGTCAAGCCACAACTCGATTGTAAATGAACGTTTATCCAATGGAATGGTTTCTGATCGAAAGATTTTTGGAACGATTATATGTAGAGTTAACAGCTGAAGCAATCCATCCAGATACATATTTCACTGGAAATGTTGTGGTCATTGAATAATTACCAAAACTATCAGATGCACAAAATGCAGCTGATGATGTTTTTGGTATTGTGATCTTTTTATACAGGAATATCCACAAGAGACATTTTGTAAGCTGTCATTCAAATCAATTTTTGAATTCGACGATTTCGTTGGTCAGCAATACAAAGATTTCCAAACGAATCGAAACTTAGACTCGATGGATAATTTAATTGGTTGCATTAGCTGCAGCTAGTTGATTATACTCGATTAAACAACGAAAACCATTGGAATTTTATCGAACAACCCGATGATTATTCGAATGAACACCAAATAGATAACCTTGCTTATCCAATGCAGCTTCATTCGGACAATTTAGATCGAGTGGTTGATTTGTAGAAATTGATATTCCAAGAAGTGAAACCGGTTGAGATGATTGAATTCAANCTAACATATAAATGATTCGAAAATCGAATTCGAATATAAAACAAACTCGTTCTCTTTGTAAAATCTCAATATGAATAGGACCACAAATTGACTTGTATTCGTCTTTAGCGAGATCTTGACGAGTCTCTACTTCGTTTACAAAGTTTTGAGAGATCGTTGATCAGTGTTTCTTTTTTGCACACTTGAAATCAGATCATGTGAAAACGTTTGATTATTCTCCAACGAAGAGACAGATTCAAATAATTTTTTATTCTCAGCAAAAACTGATTTCTTTAGTTGAAATATCATCTATTTGTTCGAAGAAAAACTTCACTTTGAAATTTTTTCTGTTGTAGTTGCGCGTATTTTGGTATTAACAAAGACACTTCCGTAAACACTGATACATCGTCGTTTTTCTAATAATTCGTTTTGCAACAAGCGGTAGTAAATCATATTCTTTTAGTTTGTTGATCGAACATTGATGTAAGGCACATTCTCGCTACAATAATGTGTTGATTAAAATATGCAAAAGCGCTGCGTGATAGAGGGCATTTCATAATCTTGATTGGTCAACAAATTATCCTTGTTGCATACAGAATGTACAGAATGAATGAGTTGAACTTCGAAAGATGAGAAGCTGCTATTATTTCATGCCTTCGATCTATTATAATACTTGGGTAACTATTCGATATAAAGTTTTTTCTGTGATATGTTAATCGAGTACGTAACAGATTTATTTATTATAAGTTGATGAACAAAACTGGTTATATTCTTCTTCAAACGGTCAACAATATTCAGAAGATTGGAACAATTGTCATAAACATGCACATGCTCATGCCCAGAATGACAAAGGAAACAAGAATATGTCGAATAAAACAAATACTCAACATATTGTTTTGAT